AATAAAACCAAAGCAGAAAGCACATCTCCCCTCGAATTGAGACAGTCTGACCAAATCTCTGCCCCTTCAGCCATTCTGGTTTCACGCCCTTGTCCCCTGTAGGATCACCCTTTCGTTATGTGCTCGCTCATCAGCGTCTTCCAGACTTGTCGGGACCTGGTTTGTGAGATCTCTTTGAGTGGGGAAGGGGCTTGAACCTTTTCAACCCAAGCCTTTCTTTGCACAAAGTGGGATCCTGGTTTCTCAGTGGCAGTACTACAAATCATCATGATAATAAAGACTTCAGTGTTTGCCACCCATGCAAGAGAAGAGCTGGTCACACTTCCCCAAGCACCCCGGCCGCAGGAAGTCTGCAGTTTCTGGTCTTCAGTGACTCTTGGTTACAGCATCTTTGCAACCACACATGAGCCTGGCTTTTTCCTTGAATGCTTTGTCTGGAGCAGAGACCAACAGGTGCTGAACCCTGCCACAGCTCCACTTCTCCCCTCTCCCATGTTTCCTAACCCTGATCCAGGTTATGCCTAACCCCTCGGAGAAACCTCCGTCTGCCAAAGTGACGCTAGGCCAACAGGATCTGGAAGACGCTTTCCACGTGGGCTCCTCCACCATCTGGTTTACATTGCACGGCCCCTTCCCTGTGTGCCAGTGAGCCTGTGCTGTCTCGAGGCGATTCGTGCAGCACACGTGGCCAGAAAACTAAGCATTTCTTCCCCTCCTTGACTGCGGTTAAACTAAGCAGTCACAATGGTGTGTGAAACGAGAGTACCTCTAAATCTTTTTATCAGATGTTAATGGACAGGCACCTGTCCCGGGGACTAATTTACAGTGCCCGCGAGTGAGATTGTTACTCTGCTAATTTTGTTTCCATAGAAACTTGTGCAGTCTTTCTGCTCTGCGTGGCCTTAGGCAAATCAATACTGAATTTTTTTTTTCCCCTCCTTTGCACATTGAACAGAGGGTCTTTAAACTCTGAAGGCAGGAGACTAATGTCTCATACTGCCAGGAATTGCAAAGCACGTAAGTGCCACAGTATAGTGTGTGTGTGTGTGTCTTTTCCATGTTTACAGCCTTATGGCTCCGTCTTAGTGCTTGGTAGTGAACGTAGCATGTGTATAAACTACCAGGAATTGCTAAGATTATTGGTGGATTTGCAATTAGTGCATTGAATGTTTCTCCCTGGGCCCAGTCACTCCAGCCATTCCTCTGGGGTGTCTATTGTGAAATAACAATTTGCTTCAACCTGGGCAAGATGCAGCACACGTTGTGGATGTGCCCGGTGCCCTCAGTGCCCAGGGCAGCATGGGATCAAGCCCTATGTCTGCATTCCCATCTGCAGGTGTTGGTTGCATTGCTAGTTTGTTTGGATATTTTTTTTTTCCTGGTTATAGAAAATGCTACGGAAAGAAAGAGCACCCACGAAGTTGTCTTGATGAGCGGGTTCTCTGCGGCATTGTCTGCTGACTTTTATATGCTGCTGGCAAGCGCCGAAGATGAAGTTATGCTGGCACGAAGTCCTTTTCATGGTGCTATTTGTTTCGCTCGGGGAAACTGGCCTGATCTGTGCTGGGAAAAGCCGCCGTTTATCAGTGTAAGCACATCCATAACAGGGCTTTTGCCAGCATAGCTGTGTTGGCAAAAACACCCCTTCTGACTGGCACAACAAAGCTCTCATGAGCAGACCAGGCCTGATGCGCTGTGTCCAAACTGAAATGCAGCGTGGCTGGTGAGAGGCTTCCTACCCGGTCAGAGGTGCAGTGAACAGGAGGGGTAACCTGCAGTAGGTGCACGTAGCATTAAAGTCGGGGGCACTGGCAAGGCCCTCGTCTTCCCATCTTGTAGCCGCGGCCTGTCGTAGGATGTTCTTGGTGCGTTTCAGCTGTTCTCCATCGTTGCGGGTGTGGGTTTGAAGTGGCCTTTTTTGGGGTTCCTTTATGGTTCCCTGTGAATGCAGAGAGCCGGACTCGATCCTGCATCTTTTTGGTAGACGCGGCGCGCGCACACTCTGGGGACAGAGCCACCGCACCTAGTGTCCCCTTTCCCGGAGTAAATCTTTGCCCTGTAGGCTCCTGCCCATGTCTTCCTGGGGAGGGGTGGTCTTAGCCTCCCCTGAGCCATGTAGGCTCTTGGTGTTTTGAACAATGCGATCAAATGAAAATCCTCATTCTGTAGAGACGGTTGAAACTTTTGCTTTGGCTCCCGATGATTGCAATCGGTGTCTTCGGGGCTAGAAAGCATCTCAGTGGTGTTGCTTTGAGGCCCAAAAAACCTGCTTCGGTGTTCCCAGCTCCTGCTGACTTCAGCTGGAGATATAATAGAGTCTGAGTAATTCCCCTTTGGGCGGAGGTGCCTGGGGACCAGTCCTGCCCCCATTTGAATGGGGACGAGCCATTTCCACCCTCTAGTTGCGATGACGCTTGACTTTAGATGGCAAATCCGTCTTTAAGGGGGTGCTACAAAAATGAGCTTGGACGTGGAGTGTGATGGATGCCCTCAGCCTGCAGCATCTTTCGTTCCTTGACGGTTTAGCGGTGGCTGACAAAACCCAACCTGGAAATTGTCCCCAAAGTGCTTTCCTCCCCGTTTCCTGACCCTTGGCACGACTGGCTCCCAGGGCAGGCTGATGACCGTCGTCTTGCAGAAGAGTGGTGGGTCTCGTGCTCTGTTTCAGCGGCATAAATACTCAACTGACTTGTCCAAGACCTTGTACAAAGGTGGAGGCGCAAAAAAACCCCAGGAGTCCAGACTTGCCTTCCTCAGCTGTAGCCACGAGACCCCCTGCAGTGCTGGCGCGTGGGCCATATTGCGTCTCTCTGCCTGCCGTGTGCTAACTAGATTGCATGGAAAGCCGCCTGCCTCGTGGACATCCAAGCAAGCAGCTTAGCGACTCTGCCCATCCCTTCGAGCGGCGCAAGATGATGGATTAGACGCAACGGAGATAAATGTAGCAAGGTCACCCGTAATCTGCTCTTTCTGCCTGTTGTGTTTCCACCCTTTGTGGATAGGCTGTTATCAGCGGGGCTAGCACAATGAACTGGAAGAAAACATTGCTCCGAGTGGCGTGTGTGCATGGAGGATTGTTTGGTCTGTGGGGAAAACCTCTTCTGGGCTGGGCACGTTTTCCATTTGTGCGCTCGCGGTGCATGCTAAAAAGAGAGCTCGTTGTTCCTCCGCCTCCCATTGTGTTTTATAGGTGGGGATGGATGAACGCTCGTTCTTTTCCCCGTGGGGGCCGTGCCTCTTTTCCTTCCAGCACAGCCTCTTCTGTGCAGAGCAAGTCTTTGGGTCCCAAACTTAAATATCCCGGGCCAAAGTATCCGCTGGTGTAGATCAGCACTGCTCCGCTTACATCCACTCCGAGAATCTGTTCGCATTATGATGCCATTAGCACTTCCTGTCCCCCAAATTTCTGTGCCACCAAAGCGTTCCCCACTTGGCCTGCTCCAGTCTTTTTTTTCTGACTGCTGTCTTAGCTTCTATGTGCCCCACAGGAGAAATCTTGGTTTCCCGACTTTGAAATCTCCATGCCCCTTTGGACTCTTGGGGTTCAAAAGGGATGTTCAGAAGTAAGTGGGGGAGCCCAGATGAGTGAGGAAGTGCTATATAGGACTTGCAAGTGTTAACTGAGTGACTACAAAAAGTGGTGAGGACCGGGTCTATGCCCCAGGTGCGAGAACGTAGGATCTACCGTACTGTATCAGACCATGTGCGTGTCCCGGCTGGCATCCCATATCTTGCACGGACCACTATCAGCTGCTTTGGCGGACGGTGGAAGGATCCCTGCTGTAGGTAGCAATGGGATAATCTCTCCATAGGGTAAGTTTTTCTGGACCCCTGTTAATTACAGACTAGCTAAAATCCCAAAGCAGAAATGTTCATATCCCCACCCCCCCACCCCCTTGCTGCTGCCTAGATCCTGACTCGGTGAACTCCCAGTATCCCTGTCGAAATGTCTGATAAATAATCTTATTGAGCTGTGGCATTTTGCTGAGCTTTAGGATCCAAAATATCCCTTAGGCCCCTGAGTCCCACCAGCCCTGTGTGCATTGCGGCAAGCACCCTATTCCCGGAGTCAGCAACTCAGTCCTGGCAGGGAAAGCATCTCGGTGGAGCTGTGCACAATGATTTGAGAAAACAGCAACCAGATGTGACATTGCTTTGCAATGCAGAAGCGCCGCAATTCCCCAGCGTGCCTGTGATGTGAATACGGTCGTCTGACACCACGGGGGACAGTATCTAGTCTTGTTCTTGTAAATCCTAATGAAATTTGTCTCCTGCTTTTGAGGCTGCTTGGATTCATAGGCCTCTCTGACTACCAGGCAAATGCATACGGCGATTCCTCCCGTTGCCCTTCAGAGTAACCAGTTGCAGCCAGGTCCACGCCTGCCAACCATCTCTGTGGCTCTTAGGCTTTCACGCAGAAGCATTTCGTTTCCGACGGGTTGCCGTGCCACGCAGTCAGCCCGCTCGTTTCCGAACTGTCCGCCTGCATTATGTGCAACACATGCCCAAGCGAATGGAGCGTGCAGCACGTTACGGTGGCACCACAGAACCATTGCCTTTGGATACCGGCTAGCGGTCGGGAAGATGATTTTCTGTCATTAGCAAAGCAAAAGCTTCTGTTATTAATGATGTTGTCAGGCAGTGGCAGCAATAATAAAGATCCTGACAGATGCTGCTGTCAATCTACTGATGTAAAAGCTTTTTGTAAGAGCATTACAAGGGCAGGGTCATTAATCTTGTTTTTACAGGTGGGGAAACTGTTGTTCTGGGAAGTGAAGTGACTTGATGAAGGACAGAGGGCCCCTGTGCCCCAGGCCAGTGCTCGGTCCTCTGGGCTACGTCGACCAGGAGCCCTCGCTCCCTGTTCCCTCCGTCTAACCGCTAGATAGGAGCCCCCATTCCTGATAAAAAGCAGGAGCAATGGAGACTTTAAAGCCTTGCTGGATTCGGTGGGAGATTTTAATTGGTAATTTATTTATTTTTTTGACTGATGCATACAGGTTTTGTGGATTGCCCACAGGAAAACAACCCAGATCTTTATTGTTGAATTTGTAAAGTTATCCGAACCATCTGTTCCAATGAGGCTGACAGCAGAGGTAACCGCAGGCACAGAGGGCAACGAGGATCAATAACCAATTCCCCGGCTAGTCGTGGGAGACGCACGGATGACCTTCCAGAATAAATAGCCAAGATGGTGTGTTAAGTACCCATGGTAAGCCGGCTTGGTAATATTGATCCAGCTGTTTTAATTGTTTTGCTCGGTTGCCTCCCCAGATCAGAGGGGAAACGCCATGGAGGGCACAAACACAGAGCAGGGAAATCAGCATGGAAGAAACGCCAGTAAGATAAGCAAGAAGTTGGTCTGTGCTTAAGGTGGTAAGATGTGGGCATTGCTCCTAGCTCTACTGCAGACACCGTCTGTGGCCTTCACCAAGTCGTTTATTGCCTCAGTTTCCCCCTCCGTACAATGGGGATAAATATCCCTCCTGTTTTTTATCTGTCTGGTCTACTCAGACTGCAAGCTGCATGGCATGGATTATATCTCCTACATGTATTGGATACACCTCGGAGGTTTGCTGAGCTGGCACAAGGCTGTGTGTTTCCTTAGAGTTGTCCAGCCAGGCTTCTGCAGCCCCTTGAGCGAGGGTCACTTCCAGCATGGTATCAGGGGGGATTAATATTCTTTCCTTCTTGATCCCTGTGGTGCCGATGAGGGGAAAATACTGATTTTTTTTTTTTTTTCCTCCCATCTTCCCTGCTCCAAGATACTTGCTTCTTCTCAGGCCTTGCCTGGACTCCTAGAGCTGTGGCGCTAGATACAGGGTTAGGGGCATGTTGCGGTAGAGGTAGCTGAACCCCATCTGTGTGAAGAGGGGTGGTGATCTACCAAGGGAAACCCGAACGATTTGCCCCTGAATGACTTTTCTTCATAGCCTTAACTGAAGGGGCAGCCCCGGAGGCTGCTGTCACGGGCATCGGGGTCTTCGGGACCTTGCAGGATGGGGCCCAGAGCTGGTCATGGCCGAGGTCTTGGTTTTGCTTGGATCACAGAAAAGAAGGGAGTTCTCTCTGTGCAAAATCAGCATTGGGCCTTCCCTGAGCACCATTATTAAAGGAAGGGAATGAAAGGGGCCATCTGGTCCAACAGGCATTGTTGTAACCTGGAGCTGTTTGGACAGCTGCGCGGCCTGCCAGCAAGTCGCCGAGACCTCAGGTGGTCACGAAAGTCCCCGGCACACGGTGCCTGCGGTCCGGCAGACTGAACAAACAGACCCCGCTCCCTTCCCCTCCTCAAAAGAGGGTTTTGGAGGGGCAGGGAGGGAGCAATCGCCTTCTCGCAGCCTTGGATCATAGCCTGCACCTCAATCGCTTGGGTGTGCTGTCCATTGAGAAACTCCTCGCACACCCGTAGTGACTCACCTTGGTGTCCTCGAGGGTTGGGCAAGCGCAGGATTTAGAGGCTGCTTTCGAGCAACGCCCTTCTTTGTCCTCGCTGGCCTGCATCTCCAGTTCCCATGGGGGAGGTGAGATGGGGCAATGCATCGCAGGGTAGAAGTACGAATCTTGGAAAGCCCGGGTGCCTTTCAATTAAATTGATTATACTAATGCTTAACTGGAAGATGAGGGCGCCTTGTTAAATTGCCGCGCTTTACGGTTAATAAGCATGCCACTTGTAACAGTCATTTGGACATGCGTGCTTCCTGTTTACCGGGACTCCAGAAGGCAGCGGCTCTGGAGGAACCAGCGTGCACATGCCTCGGAAAGGACTTGCCGCGCCAGCTGTCCGTTGCATTCAATGCTCCAGCTGTGCCCTTGAGTTCGGTGGCAGATTTAGGAAACGTGTATGGAAATCGGCCCAGCCTAAGCGGTGTTGCCCAGGGATTAACGTGGCTATGAGCTGGCTGGGGCCGATCACGTGCCCTTTCCTTTAACCGCCCGCATGCTGCATTCCTCGCTTTGTGTTGCACTTCTGGAGTGCGGCTTTATCCCCGCCCCCCGCGCATGAAAGTGAAATGCATGGAGCTCCCTCATCCTGCTGGCTTCGAGGGGTAGGATGCATGAAGGAGCTAATCCCAAATTGGGGAAGAATATGGAAAGACTCCTGGCTTCAGGGGGGCTCTGGATCAGACCCTTATCTAGCACCTTTCCTTCAAGGAACCCTTAGGGCATCACTTAAATGCGCATTAAATCCCCCACTGCTCCTGGCAGGTAGGTAAATACTATTATCCCCATGTCACCAACAGGTGAAGTTAAGGCACAGGGCCCCCCAGGGAGTCAGGGGTCTTCCCCCCAGATCTGCAGTAGCCCTAGTACACAGTCCTCTGCCCTGACCCTTCAGTCACTGGAGCTTTGTTGTGCCTCTCCTTGGTAGAGGGTCAGGTCTGGAGGCTGGCAGCAACGGTGCCTCATCTGTTAGCTACTACAGCATGTGGTGGGGCCTGATAAGGACTCTGCCAGGTACCCCTCCCTAGCGTGCTCCACCCCAGCTGAGCTTCCAGCAGCTTTCCCCTTCCTGCTTGCTGTTGACCCTCTGTGGAGCAGGGTACGGTATACCCCACAGCTATTAGGAGAAGACTGCCTCCTCCCAGGATCCCTGGGAGCTAGGAGCTGGTGTGCGTGCACACACTGCTGCTGCGGTCAGCTGGGCGAGATGTCACGGCATCCTGCCATCATCCTTTACTGATTCCTGGTGACCAAGGAGACTCTTGCTTGTGGCCAAGAGGAAGAGACCAGGAGGGGAAATTCCCTGAAGTCCCAGCTCCTGGGTCGGGCGAGGGCAGCTCAGCTGAGAACCATGTTGGCATCCGCGGAGGCCGTTTCAAGAGCACTGGCTACCTCCAGGTCCCGATCTGAGTAAGCTTTGACACGTCAGCATGGGGTGGGGTAGAAATGCATCGCGTTAATGCATTGGAAAGAGGTGGTGCGTTATGGTGGTGGTGGGGGGGTGTACACTGAAGCCTCCGGTGCAGAATAGCTTTAGGTCTCAAATATGCATCCTAGACCCTGCAATGCCAACAGCTCAAAGAGATTCCCTTTGTCGTCACGTATGTTATACTGTCAGGGTCCAACAAACTGTCTTGTACGTGCCGTCACTGGAGAAAATGATAGTGTTTTTGTAGACTCAACCCCGCGCTGTCCGTCCAGTGTACAACCCAGCGACCACAGCATACGTATGGGGGAGCAGTTATTATTTCGGGGAGGTGGTTGAAGAAGTAAAAGGCCACCCTCCTGTGTTGGACGAGGAGGCTGAGCAGAGCCGCAAGCTGCAGGCTGCCTCGAAGTGGTGCGTTAGCTGTTTCGAAAGCAGGAATCCCAGTAATTTAATTACTGAGCGCGAGGTCTCTTTGCCAGTAATGGGAAGAACGAAGCAACAGCTCCGGCATTCCTGGTAGGCCGGGCGAGTCTTGCAGCCGGGCTCTTTGGCCCCCTTGTTCTCCGCGTTTCTACCATTATTTGACTTTTCCAAGAGGCTGTAAACTTTTGAGGGATTGCAGCTGGAGGCAGGCGCGTGTTGATGGCAGCAAGGGAAGCCAAGGGAGAAAGGGGTCGCACGGCTCAGTCGTCTTGCAGTGATTTCATAGCTGCCTTTTTTTCTTAAGGCAGCCCCTCGTGTCTAATTTATCACACACCTTGACACGAGAGAGATTTTTAACAGAGATCCATTTAAATTTCACAAAGGGATACTAGGTTACTTGAATCACTCACACTTGCTTGACCTTTTTTTTTTAATCCCTTCCTGGAAACCTTATTTCATGTTTGAATTCCCTCAGCTATTTTAGGAATGTCGTCCTACCAAGATCAAATTACCTTAGATGAAACCCAGGCACAGCAGCCTTACAAGGCAAGGAACTTTTTGATTAACTACCTGTGCCATCTCATTAATATAGGCTTAGTTTCAAACTCGGGCTGTAATTCTGGCATGGCAAATGTGTGTGAAAACCGTGGATTAGTCACGGTAAGGATACCAAAGGCCCGACATTTTGTGGCAGGGAATAGCACTAACCCTTTGGCTCAGTCTGTCTTTACATTTAATTTCCTTTACGGTGGTGTGGGGGTTTGTCCTTTATTCTTTTCTTTTTTTGGTGCATGGGAAGGAGGGCTTGTTTGCAAGCCTGATGCTAGCAACTTTCCACTTGGATTTATCTGTCTCCAAACAGGCTGATCTGGCCAACAGCCCTCTATGAGCAACCCCCGTCCCCATACAGAGCTACGAGACTTCACATTTTTTGGATCTCATTGGAGAAGTGGGACCTAATTTGAAAGCCGGTGGGTTGAAAGTCAGCAATGTTTCCCCAACAGTCACAAGTTGGGGGAAGGTATTAGCGTGTAAGGGAGGTGAATTTAATCTTACACCTGGGCTGGATTTGTCCTAGTGACTTGTAGCTGAGTTAAGCTGCTGTATAAACCCGCTGGGTGTTGAGAAGCGCTGACATCTGTTAGTTCCCCGATGGCCTGTCATAAATCTGTCCCCGAGAAGGGAGTGTGTTATTTGGGTGGAGCTGGCGACAGCTTTATGAGTGACAAATGTCTGTGATGGAGGGGCACCTTCTGTGTGCCCATTGTTTGGGGGCAACAATCGCACCCTTTATTTATTTATTTATTTTTTTTATCGTTTTTAAATACGATTCCTAAGGCCCCAAAATGAGAGGAAGCGGATCAGGCAGAACTCTTGAAACGCCTGTGATCAGTTTGAGAGAAAAAAAGAAAACTTAAAAACAAATTCGTTACTTTCCCTCTTTACATACAGGAAAAAGGCAATGTACCTACTGCATTAGCCTAAAGGATGGGATAGATTCTCAGCTGCTTGAAAACTTTGTGAGCGCTGGATTTTATTTATTTTTTTGTTAAAGATTTGCTACTGCTCGAACACAAACTGCTGGGCTGGCTGCAGAAAATGTTGCCTAGGATGAGCAAGACCTAGGTCATCCCTGTGTCTTTTAGGCTTAAAATCCTTTAGAAAATTAAAAGATTTAAATGCTCATATTTCAAGGGGAGTTGGGTGCGGCTATTTGATTAAAAAACCCTGACTGCCATTTTAAGACTCTTTTTATATGTCTGTTAAATACCCGATGTGCAATAGCTATTTGTGATGTAGGTAAAACCGGGTGCGTCTACATGTCGCAGTGATCACGCGGATCTACGCATGATCACTTGCTATGTTGCGGTAGTAGCGTGCTCCCCACAAATGGTGCGCTGCTCCGGCGACATAGC